TGTTTTGGAAATCAACCAAAGGCGTGCAATGAACTGGGAAGTGCTTCTGCTCTAAGAACCATTGAGTTTCACATAGGAAAGCTTGGAATCCATGAAGTTCTGGACTGAGGTTTCTCTGTACGTCCTGCTGAGGTAGGGCAAGCCATGAAGACCAGTGACTTATCTGCCAGGGTTGAAGAGACTAATCCAACTTGAAGAAGTGGGCAGTGTGCACACTCAACAAAGCTGTCAGTAGGAATGAGCATCTGGTAGGTGAGTGAGTGGAGAGGGCCTGGGGCTCCTCCAGCCTGCATTGCTGATGTGGTCAAGGACAGCAGATTCCTAGCAGAGGCTGTGTTCCTAAATAGGGCAAATGGAAGAGGGCACTGAACCTTCACACACTTCTGGATTAATCCTAAGTCTGCATGCCTAAACTGAGAGGAAACTTGTCACAGCCTGGCAGAAATTAAAACCCAGGGAGGCTTGAAAACAGCTTGAACTTTAAACACACTCCCCTATATACTAACATAGCCTACAGCAAAGGACAGAAGCCGAAATGGTTCAAGGTATCTGAGTAGCACTGATGTGATCACAAGCTATGAGGACACAGAAAAACTCTGGCAAGTCAGCTTTAAAAATGAAATGAAGGACATATATTTTTGAAAAGAACAGCAACAAAATACCAACTGAGGGGTTAGTGACCACAGAAGAAACATATGTCATAGATTTTGCCCAGGCATGTTACTCGGCAAACAAACACCAGCAGCAATAATCTTCGCAGGAAAATATATCAGAATTCAGAGTAACTACAATATATTATCTAGAATGTCCCTTTTTTCAAGGGGAAAAAAAAGACAAAAATGATATGACAAAAAAGTGATCCAGTCTAAGGGGAGAGAAGCAATTAATAGAAGCTGTCTCTGGGTGTAGATAATAGTGGACAAAGCTTCAAAGCCACTAGTATATTCAAAGAACTAAAGGAAACTATTTGTAGAGTTAAAAGAGAGTGTGACAATAGTAGTTCAACCCAGAGATTATTAGTAAGGATATAAAAATTATTAGAAGCTCTCAAGTAGAAATTCTATAGCTTAAAAGTACAATAACTGTAAAAACAATTCACCAAAGTGACTCATCAAAGGGTTTGAGAGCACAAAAGGATCAGTGAACTGTGAGTCAACAAAAATTGCCCAATATGAAGGACAGGAAGAAAAGATTGAAGCAAAATTAAACTTTAGCATATCAACATCTATGTTGGACTGAAAAAGTATTTGGAAAAATAATAACCAAAAGTTCCCAAAATTTGAAAAAACAAAAACAAAAACAAATCATTATGCATCTAACATGTACAAAGAAACCCAAACAGGAGAAATACAAGTAGATCCATACCTTGATGCATAGAGTCAAACTGTTGAAAATCTAAGTCAAAGAAAAAAATTGAAAGCAGTGAGAGAAAAATAACTTAGCATATATCCATGAGCATTGACGCAACCAGCAGCTGGCTTCTCATCCCAAACCACAGAGGCCATGTTCAGAGTGTAGGGAATAAATACTGTCAAACAAGAATTCTGTATCTGACAAAACTATTCTTCAAAAACGAAGGAAGATTTGAGCTTGTTTGATGGAACAGCTTTCACAGAGTAAGATCTATGTGGGCTGCTTCCCAGGATCAAATCCTCACTTTTATTACTTAATAAACTCTTGGGAGAGGGCACTGTGGCTGATGGTGGAGGACTATGGGTGCCTTGGCTGGGGTGTGGTGTCATGACATGCATCTGAGGAGGTGTGATCCTATGCCTGTGAATCACATACAATGTTGTAAACAATGTTATCTCAATATGAAGGAGGGAGGGAGGGAAAGAGGGAGGAAAGAGACATTGCCAGATAAACAAAGACTGAGCAAATTTGTTGTTTGAAGAACAAGTTATACTGAAGGAAGAAAGTCCATCAAGGAGCTTCCCTGGTGGTGAAGGGGTTTAAGTCTCAGCACTGTGAAGTACTGTCTGTGGCCACTGCAGCACAAGTGCGATCCCAGGCAGGGAGCCACCCACATGGTGCAGCAGACCTCTCCTGTGTTGCCCGCTGCTCCCCTCCGCAGCGTATTTCAGTCAACCTGCCTGTTCTGTTCCCCACTCTGTCTCTGGTGAATCCTCTCACCCACCACACTTCTGCCCTGTACCCCAGTTCTTGTATGCATAAGTAAATAAATCTTTTTTTTTTTTAAAAAAAAAGAAAGTCCGGGGCCTCCCCTGGTGGCACAGTGGTTGAGCGCTGGGCTGCGAAGCTGCCCACAGCCTCTGCAGCACCAGTTTGATCCCCGGCCGCAGGTGAAAGTCCCACATGGCACGCAGACCTCTCCTGCCACGCCCGCTGCTCTCCTCAGCAGTGTATTTCATCAGTCTGCCTGTTTTGTTCCCCGCTGTGGCTCTGGTGAATTCTCTCACCCTCCCGCGCTTCTGACTGTACCCAATGTTTGTATAAATAAATAAATAAATCTTAAAAAAAAAAAAAAAGTCCATCAAGAAGATACCAGTAAGGGGCCTCCCTGGTGTTGCAGGTGGTTGAGCACACTGCTGTGAAGCTGTCCGAAGCCTCTGCAGCCCAGGTTCAATCCCAGCCTGCCAGGGAGATTCCCACATGGCGCGGCAGACCTCTCCTGTCTCGCCCGCTGCTCTCCTCAGCAGTGTATTTCAGTCAGTCTGCCTGTTCTGCTCCCCACTCTGTCTTTGGTGAATCCTTTCACCCTCCATCTGGCCTGTATCCTGGTTCTTGTATGCATAAATAAAATATATAAATCTTTAAAAAAATATTTAAAAAAAAAGATACCAGTAGGTAATACAAATCACAGGAAGAAATGAAGAATACTGCAAATAATAAATAAGTAGATTAGTGTCAAAGATTCCATAAATATATTTTCTCATTTTCCTCCAATTTTTTTAAAAGATATAGGATTATATGAAAACACCGTATCATTCATTTTATAACATTTATACATTTAATATATATTACCATGACAACACAAAAAAGAGGTAATAGAATTATATTGGAGCAAAATTTCTATGATTTCCAGAATCATATTTTAATCTGAGGAAGGTTGGGATAAATTTAAATGTGCCTTTCCATTCCACTAAAAAACACACAAAAATATGTAGTGAACAAGCAGAAGAAATGCAACAACATACTAAACATATCAGTTCAACATAAAGGAGTCAACAATCAAATTAAGGGGGAACAGTCAAAAAAGGCAGGACACATATAGAAAATCCAAGGCAGATCTTTGATAAAATTTCTATTCTTTTTGCCCTTGTGTGATATCTCTGATAAGCAGGACTGCTTGCCTAACTCTATGTACTAGACACAAAATGAACATGTTGAGTCCCTTATTAAAAAATTATTGTGGATTTTAAGTTGGTGAAAGCAGGCCATTAAGACCAGCACGGGGCCCTTCGAACACATGGTGCTAGGTGACCACATGCTACTCACCCATAATGCTCACCTGAATGTAAGTCAGAGGTTACCATAGCTTACTCTTTAGCTAAACCTCCTTTGGGGCCTCAGCACCCTCTGTTCTATTCTCCCTGTGTTGTCCTCTTCTTTCCATCCTTATACCCAAAATATCTAGCATTTAGGAAGAACACATCCTTCATACTAGAAGTCCAACTGGTTGAATCCAAGTGTCACCTCAACAGGGGCAATTGTGATGACACTTTCTTTTAAAAGATTTATTTATGCATCTAAGAACTGGGGTTTAGGCCAGAGGTGTGGTGGGTGAGAGGATTCACCGGAGACAGAAGCGGGAGCAAAACTGGTGGATCTGCTGAAATCCACTGCTGCAGTGAGACAGGAGAGGTCTGCTATGGCATGTGGGTCAGTTCCCTGGCTGGGGATTGAACTCATACTGCAGTGGCTGGTGATAGCTTGATAGCACTGATACTTTAACCCCTGCACCACCAGGGAGGCCCTCTAGACATTGCTTTGATTTGAACTTCTAAATCTCTTATTTGTACTGTCTTTATAGTTTGCAAGGGCAGTTATTGCTATGAGCAAAGCCAGCATGGGGCCTCAAAAAAGAACACTGTTTTCTAAATCACTGAAGTTTATTAATTTATTTGAGCGTGTTTAAAAATATAAGAAGAGTCTATGTGAGGTGATCTCCTTGTTGGGTGGCTGGTGCTTCTTGGTCCTTTGTGTGGTGATCTCACCATGTCTTCATAATTAGCTTTATGATCGCCACAGAAGGGATGGCCCACAAACCACTCACTAGTGTCAGACATGCCTGGGAGGGTCTCTGTCAGATCATGGCCCTAAGGCATGCAGGCCAATTCTACTTGGGCTCTGACTGGTCAATTTGCCTGCTTGTGGTTTGTGATAAGCTGTTAATGGTTTCCCGTGAGCCTTTGGGATACTGCCATACTTGCTGTTCAGGAAAAAAATGATAAGCATGAAGCAATCAAAGTTGCCACCCATATATATTATGAATCTTGTAAGTCAGAGAAAATCTGGCTCAAAACTGGCTTCATCAAAAAAAGGAGCTTCATCAAAAGGAGCTTCTGAAAACCCAGAATGCCTTGGAGTAAGGCATAATTAAGTGACTCAAACTCTCCATCAAAAACAGTTTCTTTCCATTTTTCTTCTTGGTCTTCTGTGGTATCTTGCTTAAGCCTAAGCCTGGATGCTTTCACAGTTCCAGAATGATTTTCTGAATCTTCTAATGTCTAAGAAGGAGAGAGAATCTCTTTCTTCTCTGACTCCAGAAGCATTTTTCCCACAAGTCCTAGCAAATATCTCCCTATTTCTCATTGTCTCAAGCTTCTCTCTCGCTTAACAAGTCACTGGGAGAAGGCCTGTGGAGTGTACTGACTGGCTTAACCAACCAGGCTTCTCCTCTAGAACTGAGCCTGGGGTGGGCACCCCCCAGGCTCATGGCTGCAGGGGAGACATGCTGGTGCTGGCAGGAGAAAGCTGTGGGCTGAGAGGGTTAAACCAACAAAAGCCCACCATCCCCACCAATGGGAAATATGGACTATTGTGAAGTCAGTGGCTACCAGGCCCTGAGCGCAGCCCCTCAAGGTGACTGAGGAGCCCAGGATGTTGAAGAGAGCTAGAAGGAGGTGCCAAGAACACTGGGCTGCCTCCTGCCATCCAGCTTGCAGTCCAACATGTGAGTAACATCAACACAGATGAAAAGTCATCGAATGTGCCCAGTTGGGAATATCATCCTGGCAGACATTGAACTAGGAGGTAGAGCCCTGGAGAGGTGTTTATTTTCTGAACTAAAAAAGGTAAGGGAAGCTTTTATTAACATTTCTGGATACTTATCACTAATAATAACCCTTATCATCATGCATAACTGGGAAAAATATACAAGAAAGCAGAAACAGTCGAGATTTAACCTCAACTACCAAGGAATGCCAAAATGAATGAATATTAAGATATTAATTCCACTAACATTGATCAGTGTCCACTGTGCACTTGGCTATGCCCTAAGCCCTGTACGAGATTGTAGAGTCTAGGCTTTGAAATCTTTCAGACCTAGAAATGAACCCTAGCTCTGTCTCTCAGCCACTCTGCCCCTTGGTGGCCTTGATGTTGAGGATGTACCTGTTTCAAGCAGCTGTTATGAATATTAAAAGACAGGAAATAGGTAAATAAAAGAGAAACTAAAACAAACATCCAGAGACCGAGACCAGCACATTGCAATCACCAGAAATGGTGGACAATTTAATCACAGTTACTGTCTTTATGATCACTATTATTATTAGTTATATTTAAAAGACTAGTAAGATATAGGTTCTGTTATTTAGATACCTACCAAGGAGTGGAGTGAAATGTGTACAGGTCAGGAATGTTGGAAGAGAATTAGAGATGCGATGACATAGGTGTTTGCAAGCAAATGCAAATTTCTACTGTGTTGGGAGCTGAGAAGTCTTGCTGAGAAGGCTTTGACATGCAGAAGTTAGAGGCCTTGTATGTTATTGTAGGTGCTATCTTTGGGGCCTTCTCTCTTAAGTCTTTCTAAGAAACCAAATCTTGAGTTTCGGGACAAAGGCTGACACTGGCATACGCCTGCCTTCTCTCCAGAGAGGACCCGGTGGCCCGAGGTCTCTGCGGCTCTGTCTCACCTTACGTGAGGTTGATCTGGCCGGTCCACATGGCAGAAGGCGTCGCTGCTTGATTCACGGCTTCCTGGCCATGAGATCATACTCCCAAAGGCATTTGATAATCTGTTTAACTGAGCGCAGTCATTTGTCTTGTTTGCTGACTACTTAGCAGATGGATTTGTGATTTGGGTAATTACTATATGAACGTTAATAAGACATGATATCTTTTATTAATTAGTACTTCATGTGGTTTGTTTTTCAAAATAGCAAAAACTAAATGACAGAAATATGAACGAGTCACTAGTATTAGTTTTGCAAAATTCACGTTTAGAGGTTATTCATTCTCACACGGTATCCTTTCTTGTATTTTTTGACTCACGAACAAAAACTAGAGCCATTCTGTTGTACTATGCTTCCTGGCGATGGCTAATTTACTCTGCTCAGCCAGAAAACGTTTAATTTAGAGAAGTGCTCATTTACACATTTTCCATTTTAATTCTCTCCAAAGAGGTTCTGGTGTTCCAAGGATAAAATACTTTCAGACTTCAAGTTGTGCCTGAAGAATAAAATTAAGTGAGGTTTGGACCCATTTTTCCAGAGGCAGAAGGGCGTGCTGTATATCCACCCCCACCCCCACCCCACCCAACAGTACGCCAGAGTCTGGGAGCAGGTTGGAAGAAGGTTTTTTTGTCCTGCCCTGTGGCTCTCTCCCCTGTTGCCAGTCTCTTCCCTCCACACACACGCCCCAGCAAGCATCACAAAAAGCCATTTCATAGTGAGGACTGGCAGTCATGCAGTTATGTTGCAGAGAACAGCATTTCTTCTAGAGTAACTCAGTTGGAAAATACTTCGGAACAAAGCAATCAGGTGGCGTGTTGTTACCACTTCCCTGAAGAACCCATTTAATGACTCCTGGGAGGACACACTTTCCTTTAAACATCCAGATGCCCACAGTGCTTGAGCTGCCTGCATATCCTGAAGCTGACAGCTCAATAAGACCTCCTTGAGCACCCACTGGGTGCCTCACACTGTATGAGATGTGGTGAAAGCTTTCCAGTGCCCAGTGTGGACAGTCTCTGGATGTCCCTGATTATTATGGGAGCAGATGTGATGCCAACTTGCTTTTGCACTAGACTTAAACCAGCAAGTTTAAGTTTCAAAGGAAGGGACAACTTAGCTCTCTGCTCCACTACCTTTTCAGGAACTCAAACCTTAAACTATAAGTTTCATTGATTACAGACTGAGTGTGTGCCGCACATTAAGCATTTTATATGGGTTTTTCTTATTCCTTACAAAACCCTCGTAATACTTGCACCTAGTTATATATATATATATATATTAATATAAACCTACTTTCAAGTGTACAACATAGTGATTTGTTATTTGCTTATATAGCAAAGTGATCACAACAAGCCTAGTTAACACTTGGTACCATGTATAGGTAATACAGTTTTTTTCTCATGAGAATATTTCAGATAATTACTTGCATTTATGAACCCATTTTATGGATGAGAAAATTCACTATTAAGATGCTAAGGAATTTATCAAAGGCTACAAAGCCTATTAAGTGATAGAACTGTGTTGGAGCAACCATTATGTACAAACTAGTTTAATTTTGAAAATCAATGATTAATGGCCATTCTTTATTTTTCTCTTATTACTTATATTCCTCCCTTTTCTTATCCCACAAGATTGGGACTACTGAACTTCTTTCACCTTTAGATTCTGGCAGAGTCTACATATTAAGCATTAAGCTCTTCACCTGATCACATAGCAAGAATCTGGAGATAATGGTTGACTGTTCCTGGGGTCATCTTTACAAAAAACTGTCCAGTTGTTAGAAGTGAATATTTCAGTGATACCCCAGTACAAGTGTGCAAATGCCCATTGGAGGCTCCCCCACAGAAGCAGGCATCTGTCTCGAGGGGTGTTCAAAGGCTTCACAGGTCTTAGTTGGGTGTATCTGGCTCTGTCTTTGTTGCCTGGGCAACCTCTTTCAGAATGTGAGGAAGTCGCTTTCCTTTTTTCCATTGAGATCTATGGGGAGGACTAAAATGTATATCTAGAGGTTACCTATTACCCACTGTCAGGCATAGTTGAGGGACAGAAGCAAGGTGTCAGGAAAGTGAGCCATGTGACCAAGGTGCAGAGGGTGTCACAGTCACCCAGAGAGTGATCAAGTCACCCAGCCGCTCTTGTGTAGCCTGAAACCAGATGGGAGAACAGTCAACATCGCACCCACCTCCAGAATCCCAATACCTATTTATACTCAGTTTCCTCTAAGATGAATATTCTATAGTAATTGTCTCTGTTTTTCCTGGTAGCACTGGAGGCAACTTTGAGAAGGTGATGCTGTCGGGTGACTGCAAACATGGGTTCGGGTATCAGCCTTGCTCCGACTGTGACTTCACCATTTGCTGTGTATCTTTGTCATGTAGTCCCCCTTAACCTGTTTCCTTGTCGATGAAACAGAAAGATTCACATGTAGATTCTGCATGTAATTGGTCTGCACTTATTTATTGAAGGTCTGTTTATGTTATAGACATTCAAGGGGATGATAAAGAAATGACCGTGGTTAGAAGGCGTGACACCTAAATGCCTCCATGAAGTTTAGGTCTAGCAGGAAAGGCACACATCTAACTCTCTCTATACTTATTGAGCTTCTGAAGATGAAGAATAGTGAATCTTGGAGAGAAACAATGGGGGAACCCAATCTAATTTAGGAAGAATTAGAGAGGGGCTTCCCCAAGAAAAGGGTATTAAAGATTTGAAGGAAAGTACAAGTTAGTTAGGTAAAGAGTGTGAGCCAGGGTTGCAAGGAACTTATTTAAAGGCTCATAGGAAAGAGAGAACAAAACACAAGAAGAACCAAAAGTGTCTGAGGATAGATGTGACCAGACCCCTCAAGAGAGATTCAGATGGCGCAAGATGAGGTTAACGGAAAGGCAGAAGTTGATCGAGTCCTTAAGAGTCCTGTAATCTATGTTAAAACACTTGAACTTTATCCCAAAGTCTGTGGGGAGCCTTCAAAGGGTTTAAACAGCAGTGACATGTGGAGGAGTTAACGAGAATTGAATAAAACAACCCACACAAAATCTTAGCATAGTGATATTACCTCGTCAACCTTCCAAGATGGGAGGCACTGTCGCGTCGTCATCATCTTTGACCTAGTGAGGTCAACTTTATCAACTTTAGTTGAAAGGCAGAAGTCCTGCCCTGTGCTGTGGAAAAATATTTAAGATGGTTTGTTATGGAGCAAACATGTTCTTTCTGGAAGTCCAGTAAAACTATTCCCAACCACTTGCAAAGGAAGTGGGAGGCCCCAAAGTAAATTTCCTTTCATGTCTATTCTTCCTCCTGTTCCTCAGCTCTTCAGCTTGGCAGCCTCCTCCGTGCATTCACCTGCCTCTTACACAGTGAAGTCATCACTCTTTCTGACAGGCCTGTCATTTTTATGATGATTTCTTTGCCGGAGCCTAAATACAAAAATGCAGGTGAACCGGATTCTGTGTTTTCCAGAAAAAGGTGTGTGTATGGGGGGGGGGGGGTGTGGGATGCCATTCAGGGTCTCAGACTTGAGAAAGTGCCTGCAAAAAGCAGAGGGGAGTTGCAAAACAACACAGGTCATGTGTTGGAGGTGAAGAACCTTTGTTTTCATGCAGGTGAGAGATCATGTTGCTTGGCACCTTACTATGAAATAAATCTGTGCATTCTCAGGGAGTAAATATAATGACAGCACTTAGTAAAAAGTGAGAAAAGAAGAATTTAACATTTCGAAGCTTATAGTTTGTTCACTTTCCTTTTTCTGATCTTGCTGTATTTAGGTTTTGAAGTAAAATTGGGGTAAAAGATTGAAATGGTTGGAGTTGGCATTGCTGGGCTATTGGAATTGGGTCTGGGCACCAGGAAACAGCCTTGCTTCTTCATAACCCTCATGGTTGATAAAAGAATATAAAGGGGCCAAGCCCACTGGGTTCTTTTTTTGTTTTGTTTCGTTTTAAGATTGATTGATTTATGTGTAGAAAAACTGGATTGTGGGTCAGAGGTACATGGGGTGGGGGAGTGAGACGATCCACCAGAGCCAGATTGGGGAGTAGAACAGGTGGATCTACTGAAATGCACTGCTGAGGGGAGCAGCAGATGAGACAGAGAGGTCTGATATATGGGTCAGCTCCCTGGCCCGGGTCAAACTCAGGCCTTACTGGTGATAGCGCTGAGACTTAACCCCTAGGCCATCAGGGAGGCCCCCCCACTGGGTTCTGAAAGCAAGTGTGTTGTTATCTAGGTGTGCTTGCAATTAAGTTGAACCTCTCTATCAAGAAGGATCCTTATTTATAAAATGAATTTGTTAGTTGCATGTGGAATAACAAATAGATGCTGATGAAGAGGACCCTTTTTTTTTCATTTTGTTTTGCTCTGAGGAAAGTTGTTCAAGTAGTGGCCCTGTCCTGAGGCACCTTCAGGCAATTGGTGGGAAAAAATACCCACTCAGGTAATGACAGTTTTTAGAGTTTTCAGCAAGGACCAAAGAGCCGAAGTAGAAGTCACCATCACAGCCACTCAGGCAAATGAAGAGAGGCAATACAGTTTAACAGTGGCAGGCACAGGGGCTTATAATCCAAAAACCGGACTTAGAATTCTTGCTTGGCCACATGGCACTGCGTGTATTCATTCATTTATTCCATCTATCTTGGATGCCAGTCATATGCTGGGTACTGGGTAGTGTGGTGCAACAGCAACCCAGATCTACAGAAAGAAAATTCAAGAAAACGATTTATTTCTCTGTCACTCTCTGCCAAGGGCACATACCTGTAATCATTTGATTAGCTACATATAGAATGAGAACAGAAAGATAGAATGTTCTCTCAGTGGCTGAAAAAACAGGTAACATCTGGTTAGAATTTTCTTTTGTTTCTTCTGGGTTGGAAAGAATTTGAATAACTTAAATACCTTTTTGAAAAATTAACCCTTTGCTTCTTTTTGTTGTGGATAATACAGATAGTTGAACACCAGCCATGGGCCAGATGTTGTATAAAGCACTTCAAAGTGAATAAAATTATTGTTTTCCTTTGGAGTTGTTATACCAATGCTCTGTCTTCAGGAAACTTCCTATGAGAAACATAGCTGGCCTGAATGTGAAATCATGCATTTTACAACCAGTTTCTATAAACAGGATTTCTACTCCACCCTAGAAGGCAGAGAGGCATTTGGGGTAATAAGGTGTAAATTTTCATTTTCTTCAAAGAGTTTGATTGTAAAAGGCAATGAGAAGAGAAAAATAGTAACGGTTTTAAGATGGAGATTTTCCTTTGTTTTTGTTAGTGATATTAAGATACTAGCAAGAAGAAGACAAAACAAATACAATTTATCCAGAGGGGAAGCGCCAATAGCAGTTGATTTTTGCTACAGTGGCTCAGAATACAGCATAATGTATGGACCAAACACAGTGGCACGCTGGCAGGGAACAAAAGGCACTTAATCTGTGAGTGAGTCCTTAAGAAAGTGTAATGATCAGAGCAGATTCCTTCTCTAAGTCTGCACTTGGGTGTGACAGCTAACCCCAGGCCAAAGGAACAGCAGCTTTATGAATCCACCCCAATGCCTAAAGTGGTGGAATTTCCCATAGTGGAAACTGTAATGAAGAAATAGTAATGGAGGCGGGGGATGTACTCTGTGTGTGTGTGTATGTGTGTGTGTGTGTGTGTGTGTAGGATGACTTCTTTAGATTGATGAAGTGAGAGGGGGAGGAGATAAATGAATGAGAGAGAGCTAGTCATGCCAAGGGCTGTGGGAAGAATGTTTGCAGTTGAATGCCAGGGTAAGCAATTTGGATTTTATTCTGAGCACAAGAAGGCATTAGGGAACTTTAAGTAGAACAGAATGATCTGGTTCACATTTTTTGAATGTTTTTCTGTAGCTCTGGGGAAAGTATAGATTTCGGGGTCAAAGTGGAACCAGGAAGACCAACGAGGTTTGGCTTTCTCTTGGAAGTGACGGTGGTGATGGCTTAGACCAGAGACATGCCAGCGAAGCCAGATCAGGGCATATGTGAAAACTACGTGGAGGGCCTCCCCGGTGGCGCAGCGGTAGAGCACTGGGTTGCGAAGCTGCCCGCGGCCTCTGCAGTGCCGGTTCGATCCCCGGCTGCTCCCCAGCCACCGCAGGAGGGTCCCACATGGCGCGCAGACCTCTCCTGCCGCCCGCTGCTCCCCTCAGCAGTGTACTTCGGTCCTTCTGCCTGCTCTGCTCCCCGCTCTGGCTCTGGTGAATTCTCTCACCCTCCTGCGCTTCTGACTGTACCCAGTGCATGTATAAACAAAACAAACAAACAAGCAAACAAATAAATAAAGAAAAACATGCCTCTATTAAAAAAAAAAAAAAAAAAAAAAAAAAAAACTACGTGGAAAGCAGACCCATAGCATTTGTTTGTCAAACATATATGGAAAAAAAGGGAAAAAGGAAGGAGAAAAATGACACCTTGGGTTTTAATTCTAGAATGTGTGTTCCACTGGGACATCCAGTGGAAAGTGGCCTTTGTGGAGACCACTGATTCTAATGCAGAGAACAGTGCACTAAGAAGAGTGCTACTTTGGCACCAGGGAGAAAGTTTATATTCTGGGTACTACAGACCTAGTTGGTCTCTTAGGAGTTCTCATCTGGGGTATTGGATCCGCTCTCTGCTTCATCTCATAGCCAGAGAAGACGGCTTTGTCCATAAGCCCCAAACCCCTAATGTTTATTTACTAGCACTTGACCTTTTATTTTTTTAAAGATTTATTTATGCTTACAAGAACTGGGGTGTAGGCCAGAGGTATGTGAGGGTGAAAGAATTCACTAGAGGCAGAGTGGGGAGCAGAACAGGTAGATCTACTGAAATACACTGCTGAGGGGAACAGCAGGCAAGACAGGAGATGTCTCGAACTTCTGCTGCAGTGGCTGTGGATAGCTTCATAGTGCTGAGACTTAACCCTTTGTACCACCAGGGAGGCTCTTGACCTTTATTCTTTACAAGGTCACCCTCCACTGGCTTTTCATACTTAAACTAGGGTCCACCTGACCAACAACACATTTTGCAACAACAGCTGCTTCATTATGCCATTTGGATGCCTAGCTGGTTCGCAGATTAGGAATATTTTGTTTAGTGGATTGTGCCATGAGATCAAATTTAGAGATAGTTGTGAATATATCCTAAAGTTGGAAATCACCAAAGATGAGAAATGGTGCCCAGGATAACACAGATCATTAACTTTGGGGTGTCACCTTTATACTGGCTGCAGTGAGGTACCAGGCAGTAGTCCGGTGGGACAGTTTTATAAAATGCCACCACCCTCACCAGTGCTTCCCAAAGGCCCCCATGGGTGTTTTCTGAACCCACATAACACATGCTTGGTAAACAAAAACCCTATGACTTCCTCTGCAGTTCAGCCTGCTCATGTTAGAAGACTCTCTTTAAGGAAAAGTGAAAAATACAAGGCAATAAATCTTTAAAAGTATTGTAACATTCAAAACATCAATATTGGTTTGAAATGATCACATCATTTTCTAAAATAATGGTCTGTATGAGGAATGTCATGAATTATAATTAATTTACATATGCATTAATGTCCACTTTCAAAGAAAATCTCCTTTCTCTTTCAAACATTGAAAATTAAATATTTATACTTGTTGTGATTTCATATAGACATAGTGAATATTGCTTCTTAAAGCCACCTGCTCTCCACCATATGTCATTTTCTCCGTTGATTCTTTATAACCCATAGATGTGGAGTTGGGTTAGTCCTAATTGAAAGTCTTACCACAGGCCACACAAGTGGAAAGTGGAAAGCGCTGAGCTACTTCAGTTCAGTAGAACAGGAGGTAAATGGAGCGTAAATAGCTTCATCGCTTTTAAGGATCTCTCCTTGTAGTTAATTCATTAAAGGATTTAAGAATTTAACTTTGAGTCCTTGAACTTGAATTACTGAGTAATAATCAAAATATACTTATTGTATTTCTTGCATTTGAGGACAAGTTCTTATATTTGAAGCTGAGTTCCTCAAGTTCTCCAGGTCACAATTCACTTTCATCTTTTCAAAGTGAGATAATCTATCAAGGACCATGTTCTGAAGGGTCCTCAAGTAAAGGTAAATAGGTGATTGTGAAGATGGAAAAAATCATTGAAAACTCGAAGAGTAAAAAATAAAGGAGCCTAGGGTGCAAAGAAAATACCAGTCTTCCTAGAAATACATACTGGATTCTATTTCTTTTCATTTTTCCTAAGCAAAGAACTTCCTTGAAGAATCTATCTTGGGGGTAGAGCTAGTTTGAAAGTTTGAGCTTAAAAAAAATAGTCATGGGAATGGGAGATGGTAAGCCCCTAGGATTCCTCTTGTCTTTCTTAAACAACCTCTGCTCCCACTCCTACTCCTGGCCAATTGTATACAAAGAACACCTGTTCAGGGTGCTAATCCTTGTCCTCTGCCTTGTCCTGCCATCCTCAGTAATTGTAACAGAGATGAGTGTTATTTAATTTTTTTGTAACACTG